GCAAACTCCAAGTTTTATTTGTACTATCCGGTGTTAAAGCTTTCACAATAATTCAAGATAATTCACTACATCATTTGATGATGCAATCAAAATACTTGATAACAAATATCAAAAACGATCAACATCTATTATGATGCGCCACAAACTTTGCTCTTTTAAGCAACAAGGAGAAATAGTCGAAAGCTTAATGAGTAGACTAAAACAATTCGCAAGAAAATGTCCAACAGAACCTCTAATAGCAGAACAACATATTAATTTACTAACTTGCGACACTTTTGTCGCTGAAATTTACTCACCTTCTATTCGACAATGACTCCTCAAAGCTACAGAAGTCAATCTTGAGGCACTTTATAAAACAGCGCTAACAATGGAATTAGCCACCGAAGATGCTCTTAATTTGACAACAACCACGACAGCTAGTACTACGCTACCAACTTTTGCCGCAAGTCATAACCTTACTAAATCTTATTGTTACTGGTGCGGTAATGATCCACATCCAAAGATTAAATGCCCAGCGTGAAATTCCACCTGTACACATTGTCAAAGAAGGGGCCACTGGGCAACTGTCTGTCTCTCAAAGAAACAAAATAAGACCTACACTAATGCAGCAGTTGTTAAGGAATATCAGGAAGAAAACAATAAGGCAATAGTATCTACGGTCATAGCAGCAATCAACTCACCTGATAGACTAATTAACATCACCATTAACAAAAATATACCACAGGCACTGATAGATACTGGCTCCGATAAAACGTTTATTACATCTGATTTTCTTCAACATTGGAACCCTCCTTACAATACTCAGTCTACCTCGAAAGTATCATTGGCAGATAACTCGACATTAAAAGTTAAAGGAATCTTCCAAGGCCCTTGTTTTTATCTTGCGAAAAATTTAAAGTGCAATTCCTCGTTATAGTCAACTTAGTAGCACCGGTAATTATCGGAATGGACATGTTAACACAACATACCTTAATTAAAATCAATTTTAAAGGAAATAAAGAGCCCGTAAAATTCTGTCAAGCAACAAAGAGTATGAAGTGTACTACTTATGCATTGATACCTGGAATGGATATTGACAAAATTAAGCCAGTCACTACAACATCATGACGGGTTCCTAAAAATAACTCCTTCATAACAGACGAGATAAACCATTAAAGCATGTAAAAAATGTAAAACCGTTAAAGCATGTAAAAATGTACATTACATATATATATATATATATATATATATATATATATATATATATATATATATATATATATATATATATATATATATATATATATATATATATATATATATATATATATATATATATATATATATGTAAATATATATATATATATATATATATATATATATATATATATATATATATATATATATATATATATATACAGTATTGGACAAAACATTTGCAACCAACATCGAACATTGCTAAAAAGTGTTCCTAATTTTACAGGTCTTCATAACGAAACGAACTATATTACCACAGCAAACAGTTCAGGAGTCTGGAGTCATAGCATGCCATGACATGACCAATCAGCTGACAGGTGACAGCACACAGGTAGAATTTCATTGACAAGTGCCTTTTTGCAGACGACAAAACAAGTGCAACTTTTTGATTTGTTTCATTTTCTTAAGTCTGGTCCGTGTCAACGTCATGAAAGTTTTTTAACAATTAAAGGAAGTATCCAGAAGTTTCCAGAAGTTTCCAGAAGCATGCAGAAGCTTCCAGAAGTTTCCAGAAGAAGCATCTGGAAGCAGCCAGAAGCATCCAGAAGTATCCAGAAACATTCAGAAGCATCCAGACGCACCCAGAAGCTTTCAGAAGCATCGAAAAGAAGCATCTAGAATCTTCCAGAACAGATTCACACAGGTTCATTTTACTATATAAGAGACATGTAAACCGACATGTAATTCAGTCAGTATATGGAAATCAATCAGTCAGTATATGGAAATCAATCAGTCAGTATTATCAAGACAGTTTATCGAAGTGAGTTTTATCAAAGTGTTTTATTGAAGAACATCAATACAAGAAGTGAAATGCAACAAGCGTTTTATTACATCAATACAGTCCACATCCAACCAAGACGTTGTGTTCCACAGAGCATTATTGTATCATCACAAGGTAAATGTAACACAATAAGCCTTGAGAAGCGTCATTTTTTTTTTTAATTATTTTTATGACTTCAAGTACAAAAATGGCTCCTGACAGTCTTGGATTGGAACTAAAAAAGAAACTTATTGGCAATTACGTAAGTGGAATGTCACAAAAAATTATTTGTGATAAATATCGCGTGAAAAAATGGACCGTATCAAGACTATGTTCCAAATATCGCTCTACGGGGAAGTTGGCAGCAGATAACAAAGGTCAAAGACCGTGCTCCACCACATCTAGAGAAGATTCTATGATCATCAAATCTGTCAAGAAGGATCCCTGGATATCATCAGTCGAAATACAAAAACAATTAGAGCTGCCTGTATCGAACCGAACATTCAGACAACGTGCTGTTGAAGCCAGATTGTTTTCTCGACACCCTGCAAAGAAACCGCTGATTTCACTAAAGAACCAGAAGAAAAGACTCGTGTTTGCTACATCTCATATTGAATGGAATGTGCAGAAATGGCAAACTGTTCTGTTCAGTGATGAATCGAAGTTCAACATCATTGGGAGCGATGACATTTGACATGTACGTCGACCGGCTGGAAAATGCCTCAATTTACGTTACTGCCATAAGACCGTGAAGCATGGTGGAGGCAATGTAATGGTCTGGGGGTGTTTTTCTGCTAACGGTCTAGGTCCAATACATCAAATTGATGAAATAATGGACCGTTTTTATGCATAAAAATATCCTGAAAGATGTTATGTTACCTCATGCTGAATGGAATATGCCAATAAAATGTGTTTTTCAGCAAGACAACAATCAGAAACACACTGCAAAAGTAGTCAAGCAGTGGTTATCCATGATGGATTGGCCGCCTCAATCTCCGGATCTCAACCCTATCGAGAACCTGTGGGAGATCGTCAATCGCAGAATTAATCGTGAAGGTGTTCATAATAAGGATCAACTGTTTGAACAAATCCAAAAGGTTTTTGATCACAGCCTTGCATCTTTGAGGCATAGATCGAATATATGCTTCGAAGATGCAAGGCTGTGATCGACAACAAAGGATTTGCCACGAAATATTGATAGCGAAATTCAGCTTGGCCAATATTTCGTGGAGTTGCACTTGTTTTGTCCAGAAGGAAATCAACTATTTTTAAAACTTTTGATTAATTTATTAATCAAAAGTATTAAAAAAAGTTGTACAAATAATAAACTTTGTGATGAGTAAAACTTGAAGAACGCTTTCTCTAAATGTATGTATCCATGGGTGCCCGTATAAATTTTGTATGGTCATAACTTTTGTAATATACAATATTTTTCTACGAAATTTAAAATGTGTAGATAAATTTAAATTTAGTTCAAGATAGTAAAGTTGAAAATTTTACTAAATCAGTGCCCTCAGGTTTGCGCAGGGGGTGCAAACATTTTAGAGCTTTTTTGTTCCCAGGCCTCCGCCGTCCCAAATTTTTGCAAGACTTCCTCATTTGGCATAGGTATTAACATACTTAAGTTTGGAGTTTGCACTATGTGTGGAAGTGTCCTATCTGAAACATCGAAAAATCCTGTGGGCGCCCATGTATGTGTATGCATGTATCTATGTATGGGTGTATCTATGTATGTATGTGTGCGTGTATAAGTATGCATATATATATATATATATATATATATATATATATATATATATATATATATATATCTGTGTGTGTGTCTGTGTGTGTGTCTTTTTGTCATAAAAATGTCTAAATGTGTATAGATATATTTGGATATACCATTGTTATTACTATCATTAATATTATTACCTTTATTTTTGTTAATATCATTTTTAATAATATCTTAATTTTTATTAATACCATTATTGTTATTGTTATTAATACTTTTTTTTTTTTCTTTAATTAAAATATATAATACATGAATAACACTTTTTTGCTGTTGTTGTTTTTAATGCATTTTGTGCAAATTTTATTTATTCTGACTTAGTAACCTTGTAACCTTCAGTACTTACTTTTTTTTCTGAAACCACTGTAATAAAGTCTATTAAAAAGTTTATATGTTTTTGCTACTTAAGTTTTTATTTTTGGAAATATCAGAAATTTCAAATGACCAAAAGGTTTTATGCTAAAATTTTTAGGAACTGCTTTTCTCATTGATATATATCAACCCATCAAGTTTTGTCAAAATCTGAGGTGGTCCATGTTGACATTCTCAAATTTTGGTCTATTTCGCATGGAATGGCCCATAAGAGAATTCAAAAAATGGCCATTGTGCAACAGCAAATTTAAAGGAATTTATTAATTCTCTCAGCTCATAAAACCTTTGTTTCTAGATTGTAAAACTTTAAATTTAATTTTAACAACAAACTCCTGTGTTATTTGTAACAAATGATCACAAACTCTAAAAAAAAACTCCCAACAAAGCTGCAAGTAATCAAAATTCAAGTAAAAAAAGAACAATCTATTTGAGGTTTACATTTGTTGTTTTTTTACTAGAAGTTAAAAAAAAATGTTAATGAATGAAATGAATTAAAAGAATGCCTGGAAAGTAATACCGATTTATTCAAATTATTACAATTACTTTATTATTATTGTTATTATTATTGTTATTACTATTAATAGTATATATTATTACTAAGATTAATTGTATATATATATAAATAGTATTGAAATACTTGAGATTAGTATTTCAATACTATTTGTAAATAGCCTTAAAAATTTATTTTCAGAATATATATATGATAACATGTGATAACATAACATTTATTTGCAATTATTCTGGGACTACTTTAACAATTACTTAAGAGATTTACCCGAGCTTTATCCATATGTGTAATAATCTGTAACTATTTCTTTAGTTAGTTGGTATTGTAATATTCCATACTTCATCAATACATACCTATCAAAACTATTGCAGTTTTCATGTAGTGTTTGTTCGCCATCAGCACCTGACTGATAATAATTCTTTGCATTAAAATCTAGCCGCTCATTAGCAATTTGATTTAGGTCTTCTAAATTAACTGGATTTTGCCTCATCTATTATTAAAAGAAAGCTGTCAAGGAAGCAATTAAAAACATATTAAACAAATTAAAAATTAATTTTACTTATTTACAAACTTATTGAAAATATTGAAAATTTGCATAATCAATAAAATGGATATAATACAATACAATGCAAAATCAAACGTATTCTAAAAATACCTTTTAAATTTTAAGGAATTTGTATGGTATACTTTTAACAATTTGAATTAAAAAACTCAATAGAACAAAAAAAGAAAATATGGTATTTTAACACGAATTTAGGATAATTAAATAGATAAAAAATATAAGAAAACTTTTAAATGAATTAATATTAAAAAAAGTTCTATTACAATTGCTAGTAATGGCGATATATTGCAACTTTTTATCAACTTGGCAAAAGTAATGTTTTATTTTAATAACTATAGTTAATGAAAGCATATTTTTCATCACCATGTCATTAAACTATATTACATACTGGAAGGATTATAGCAATAAATTTAAAGAACTTTTTTTAATTTATTTTCCTCTTGTGTTACAACAATTGTTAATATCTTAGACTATTCATGGTGTATTATTTATGAATTTTAAATGTTTTCTTTACTTTTTCTTTCCTTATTTTTTTTTTTTTTTTTTTTTTTAGATTTTTTAGCCAAACCAAGAGTTCTTTAACACCGCCTAAAATTATGTTATACAACGTTAGGTTATAAGACTTTCTTTAATACCGTCTAAAATTAGGTTATAAGACGTTATTAGGTTAAAATTAGGTTATAAGACGTTAAAATTAGGTTATAAGACGTAAAATTAGGTTATAAGACGTAAAGCATATTGTAATAATGTGTTAAAAATGTTTTTTAAACGCTCATTAAAGTAAACCACTTTTTTACGCCTAAAAAGACGCAAAAAAGTTGTTTCGTTTCGAAAGTTTATCATAACAATTTAAATTTTATATACCATAATTTTCAAAAAAGCGAATCAGTGCTACCTTAAATGTTTATATCTAAGCTTCCCTCTTTTTAAGTTCAAATTCATAAGCAACCAAAAGCAAATCGAATTAGTTAAAGTTCCCCTCTGAATAAACTAAAACGTTCCTCCCCACTGAGAAAAATGAGCTATTGAAAGAGCTCTTTATTTGGTTTTCCTAGAGTTCGACCAAGAGGTCCTCGAAGACAGTACTCCGAGACAGTACTCCGAGACAGTACTACTTGAAGACAGTACTCCGAGAGTTCTTTTAGAGGAGCACCAAAGAGCGTTTTTAAAAGAATCTTTTTAGAACTCTTAACATTATTCTATTAAGTACTCTTAACATTAAAGCATTTTTCATAATAAAAAAATTAACTTGATTTAAACGCTTGGCATCGCAATTCACGAATTCAAACTTTCATATTTGAAATAAGAAACTTGCACGAGTATTTTATGTAGAAAAAAATTACGGAGTACCCGCCTTAAGAAAATTTTGAGGCAAGTGCTTAAGGAACCCTTACGATGATATCCGCGCCGAATATCAGGGTCCTTTAAGTCTGATCATAAAGCCGCGAAAAAAAGCTACACGTTACTACTGAGTATTAAAGCGTATTTGTATTTTAATTTCTATTTTTATCATTGAAATAATAAAAAATTGACATTATGATTTTTTAATGATATTATACGATATTATTATTGATATAACACTTTTTTTTTGTTGAGGTTTTTTATTACTGTCCTCTTCACAACCCTTTCCACTGTAATCAGCAACAGCGCGATCTCTGGCGTTATTAAAAAATCTTGCCACTTTACTAACATATATAAATACGAAATACTAACATATAAAAAAGTATATAGAAAAAAATAAACTTTGAATCTAAAATTTACTTCATTTATAACTAAAATATAATAATTTATTAAAAAAAAAACCTGAGTGGTAATCTAATGATAAAATAAGTGGTTGCTTTTTTAATTATAACGTACATATGATCAATGAAGCGCCGATTCAAGATTTTGATATTTAGAGGGATGTTTATTTAAGAGATATCTAACTTTTTTAAGTTTAACTTGTTAAACTTGAATAAGTTAGATTTAATTCAGAGTTAGATTAGTTTAGAGTTAAAGTTAATGTTGTTAAAGTTGTTTATACCTGAATGATTTTGAAGAAGAACGCTTTGAACTGTGCAATAAGAGGATTGGTTTTGAAAATAAACCATTTAATGTTTAACAAAACAAATCCACTAAGACGAATTGTATAAGAGGGTTTGCTTGTGGATGAAAACATCCCCCTGTTTGTCCAATTGTATTAAAAATGAAACTTTTAAGTGGGTTTGTTAACAAGTTTGAACAACAGTTTAAAAGTTTCAACTTTCAAACAATCGGACATCAGGGGAATGTTTCCTTGAAAAATGTGGTTGAAGAAAGAATTAGAAGCAACAGTTAGAACAAATGCACCCTTTAGATACATTTGTTATAACTTTATAACAATTTCATACCTAAATTTTGTATTTAATTCTCAGAATTTTTAGTGTTTAGCGGTGGGTCTATTAAAGGTATAATCAGGGTTAGCCATAAATAGGCTAGAACTTTCTGCAAACTCCAACTCAGAAAAAAAAGAATGATTTATAAAATATGTGCCATTTTGAAAGCATGTTATTTAAATTTGTTTGGAAATAAATATGCCCTTTAACACAAAAACTATTAACAAGTCTTCGCAATTTATGTATATTATTGTAGTTCCAATAGGACTGCAGTTTTATTGTTTCTAATAATGCAATTAAGATAATTCTAATGATCATCATAAATTATTATAAAATATATATATATATATCTTTCACCGCATAAAGAAAACGTAATAAAGTGAATACATCAAGGCTGAAAAATTATATATTATGGTTCATCTGAATTACGTATATCATGGATGCATGATAGTATGCTTGGTGTTTGCAGTTGTCTTATATTTAACAAGATTTGAATACTTTATTATTTATAATTACCATAAATATCTCCATTATAAGTACCTCCATTTTTAATTTTAATTGTAGTTATCGTGACAGGAAAGGACAAATGCATATAATCTCCGTGAACTGGCTTCAATCCAGTCTACATTGACCAATCTATAGCAACAACAAGAATGATTTTCGCCACGTGTTTGTAGTGATCCTGTTCCCAGAATCACTGCCGTCACGTGTTTTCTACTTCTACAATATTCTAAAGTTAAAAGCAATCAAAGATTTTGGTAAGTTTTTATTTGTTTCTGATTTTGTGAGTATAGCCATATTGTTTTGCCTTTGACAATGAAATATAAAATGAAAAGTATCATACATTTATGTTGTAATCTAATTTTTTTAGTTGTCGTAGATAAAGCTTAAAGGAGGATTGTGACCATATTTCATAATTGCTTAACAAATTGCTAGCACGTACATTCTGAAAGATATCAACAGGCCTGGAACTTATAGCAAACATAGGTTTTTTTAACAACTTTGAAAATTTTCTCATAAGTTAGTTTTAATTTAAAAAAAATAAAGTAGCATAAATTGCTAATGGAGTTATTACTATATCTATTATACTACGCTGCACCGAGGAGAGAGGTGTCCCCCCCTAAGAAATGAATTAACTATTCATATTTTATTATTATTATTATTGTTATTATTGTTATTATTATTATTACTAATATTTATAATATTTGTATACTATATTGTCAATGTCATTATATATAACATCTCTTATACTCGTGAATCCGTATTTTAAACACAACTATCGTATTTAAATATAAAATTATAAATATATATAAGTAAGCTTATTTATAATTTATAAATACATTATGTTGAAATAATCACTATAGTGTTTATTTCAACATAATGTATTTATAGCTTCAACTTTTCACACACACAATGAAAAAAGAAATTGAATTTAAAGTAGCACGACTTTTAATAACGCCAGAGATCACGCTGTTGCTGATTACAGTCGAAAGGGTAGTGAAGAGGACAGTAATAAAGAACCTCCAAAAAAAAGTGGAAGACTTTGTCATATTATTAATAATATTGTGTATTATCAATAACAAATTATAATGTTAATTTTGTATCATTTTAATGATAAAAATAGAAATTAAAAAACAAGTACGCTTTAATACTCAGTAGTAACATTTTTTTTTTACGGCTTTATGGCTTTTTTTTTGTGGCTTTATGGTCGGACTTTAGAGGAACCTGATATTCGGCGTGGATACTATCGTAAGGGTCCCTTACAAAGTCAATATATAATTAGTCAGTATATATTGACTTTGTTATATAATGACTTTGTAAGGGTTCATTACAAAGTTAATATATAGCTAGTCTGGAAACGCAGGGTGTTTTCTTAAAAGATTTAAGTTTTACACTGTACTAGTGCCCTGCCTTTTGTATAAACTCAGGAATAAATATTGAATTGCCAGGAGCAAATGTCAGTGCTATCTTTGGACCGAAATTAATAAACGTATTAACAGAGTTTTTTTTTTTTTCTAATTACGTTAAGTACACCAAAAAGTCCTTACGGTCTTGTTGCAGAGCACCGCGGAAGAGCATTTTAAAAAAAGTTTAAGTCTCCTTCTTTACTGAGGTTGTTAAACTTGTCCAGAGGTGGTGTTGAACCAAGAATCCCTAGTTTATGAGGCAAGTGCGCTAACCACTGCGCTACGGCGGTTCGAGTTTGTTTATGGTTTGCGTATGCCATATAGAATATCGGATGCACATACTATAGATAAACATATATGTGATGGCATATTTGTTATATGTTTGCACATATAATAAATATGCTATATATATATATATATATATATATATATATATATATATATATATATATATATATATATATATATATATATATATATATATATATATATATATATATATATATATATATATATATATATATATATATATATATATATATATATATATATGCAAACAATTTATTGGCTTTATAATTTAGTTTTGATTATGTCTATGGACATAAATGCACACTATCTATTCAAAGTATATTTTGTACACTATCTATTCAAAGTATAATTTAAAATTTAAGTTAATAGAGTTAAACTCTTTATTTTTATGAATTTATTCAGTTGAGATGGATTAAATAATAACTCGAATTATCATAAAGTTATATATCAGTCTTTATATTGTGCTGGAATCTTATCTAAAAACAAGAAAATTTGGGTATAATTTTTGTAATCTTAGATGGTTTAAAAACTTTTACCTGGATCAATACCAAAAAGAACTTTTTGTATATATTATCTTGCAATAAATCAATATATTTCTGAAACAGTTGGTGGTTACATTTCAAGGTTGTTTACAAATAGTAATTTTACTAACTTCAAGTAAACACCTAATGAAAATGATTAAAATAATAATGGTTATAATAAAAAAAATATTTATAACAATAAACATAAGAATGACAATATATATAAAAAAAAAAAAACATTATCAATAATAATTACGTTAACAGCAATAATAAATAATAATAACGATAAAATTAATAAGTTACTTGTTTTTATAAACACAGTAGCTATATATACAATGTTAGCCAGTTACAAAAAAAGCGATAAAACGTAACCGATAAAATGCCCGGTGGGAAATGAGCTAGCAACTAGAGAGCAACTAGCTAGCTTTATAGCAATTTTTAGGCGATTTTTTTTTCTTGTTTTGTTTTTTCCTAATGTCTTAAACGTCTTTAAAAATTCGATTTTTAGGGTTAAGTCTATTATAGTTATGAGAATAATTAAATTTTAAAGATTGCGATTTTATAACAAAGTGCCGCTAGCTACATATCTTAGCTTTATAGCTAGCTACAAAATATCTACAAATTTATAGCAGGTTTATAGCTATATATCAAAATTTTTTAGACAGCGATTTTATTACGATATACGTTAGCTACAATAGCCAGTGGGTCTTTAGCTTATTAAGCTAGCTGTCCTCGTAGCCAAATTGCTGTTTTTATCTTTACAAATATCGATAGCTTTTCGCTAACTTAAAAAAGCTACCGATCCTCGTGGCCAAATCGCTGTCTTTATCGTTACGATTATAGCTAGCTATTCGCTAGCCAATTTCCACCGGGTGTAACGTTATTGTTTGTCTATTGTTTAATCATAGTCAAAAGAATTTGTATCTAGAACATTAAAAAAAAAAAAAAAATATATATATATATATATATATATATATATATATATATATATATATATATATATATATA